TTTGCATGTTTTGATGAAGTTAGTAACGCAAAAGCCCGGGATACCAACATCCTGGTTAGCAGTGTGGTACACTTTGTGTCCACATAGGGGAATAACCTCAGGTGATGGGAGATGTTGTTTCTGAGAAGAAAGTTGCCTCATGGAATGTGAAAGGAGTTTTCCTGGCCGATGGAAAGTGCAAAGGGCTTGAGGCGATTTTCTACTCACCACAAAAAAAACACATCTGTCATCCAAAATGTGGGTTCCAGATTGGGAGTTCTTGGGAAACAGGAGAGGAAATGTCATCCCCTATGCCACGTAGAGGAGGCGGAGGTGGAGAATATGAGCAGTAAAGCCATGCTGAGATGCCAAACATCTTTCCAGGACCTAAACACAAGTGGCTGTTGACTGGAGGGGGAGGTCTTAAGAGGAGTGCTTACGGACTCCGGCCAATCAGGAAAGACTTGGGTGTGATGTCACAGTGGGCTCACAGCCCTTGGACTTGGAGAGTCCTGAGGCAGCTGCTACCTGTCCTGTTGCTATGGCTGCCCAGCCAGCCAAGAGGAGAAAGGCAGGTGCCCCTGTATGGTGAGGAAGTTTCTCAGTGAAGTGTGGCATAGGAAATGGGAGGGAGGCCGAAACAGGATATCCATGAACTGAGCCCATGGGATTGGGGGAATCTATTCTTCACTGCTAGCCAAATCATCCATATCCCACGATTTTGAATGTTCACAGGCCTGTGTGCCACCTGCGGTGGGTCTCCCTTTGCAGAACAGGGCGCCTTCGATCTCACTGTGATACACAAGCTGCCTGGTTTTCAGGGTCCCAACCGACCACGTGATCTTAGGGTGTAGTGCTAGCGGACTGGCAAGGGAAGAATGAGTTTACATGGTGGCCCAGGCACCTGTTGATCTGACAGAAATTCTTCTGTGCCCTGCAGGGTACACTAAACCATGGGCAAGGAATCTTGGAAGAAGTTAACCTGATTCTCCAGTGTTTCCTAGTATTCAATAAGGATCGCTACTGCTGAAAGGTATTTCTTACATGAAGGTACAGAAATTTTCTGAGTCCAGAATGTTTGCTATTCAAGGAGCCATGAGTGTGTATGTGTGTGTGTGTTGTGTGTGTATGTGTATTTGTGTGCTTCTGTTGCATGTGTGTGTGTGTGTGTGTTTGTGGGAGCCTTTTGCACAGAGGGTAGATAGTATAATATTTCTTTTGTCAGTTTCTGGGAGATACTCTTTTTCAAAAAATGGCAGTCTGATTGTTTCCTAGAAGGTAATAATTTTGGAGAGATCAAACGTTGTTGTCCTTAGATCAAGCCGTATATATTCTGTAAGGAGGAACTATTCAGCATTCAGGGCATATGTGCAGTGTATTTCCAGGCATCATGATACATGGGTCAATGTGCATCACTGGGTGAAATGAAGGGATTTCATTCTAGTGATTACTTCAGGCCAGTCCCAGGTGGAATACACCTTGCTTGTTTCCTTGCATAAATGTGGCAGTATTTCATCCGTCCATGAACATGGCGGAAATTATATCACCCACATATTTTTCTTAGCGTGATCCTTTTTGAAGTGCTGATATTGTCCCCTCAGTAGCATAACACCTGGACTTTCAGCCATTGCGTGTAACATTCCCCATGCAATGAATATGGATAGATTTTGTTTTTATTTTTGTGTGTCTGTGTGTGCAACATTTCTAGTTTGCAAATGTAGTAATTGCTTTGCTCATTCAAGTAAGTTCTCCTAGGACAAACGATTTTACAGCATTGTGTATACCTACTGTTTAGGCATGCATAAGACCCCTTCAATTCAAAACTCGTTCTTTACACTGTGGAAATTGATAGCATGCACCAGGCTGTGCACCAGGGTGTGCTGGTGTTGAGTGACTTGTGATTTTGCTAAACGTTACCATTCAGTACATACGAGCAAAGAAATTCCTTCACTCGATAACTATTAGGATATCAACACTTTGTCTCTGTGGGTTGTGTGTGGTGTTTGATTGTGTGATTGTTCATCTTTCTCTTTCAGTTTGCCTCACTGATTTGTATAATTAGCTTACTTCCTGATGTCAGTTTGAGGAAAAGCCTTGAGTTACCCTGCCATTAGTCTTCAGTTCCATGAATGAAAGGTGTCGTGGTCTGTCACTGAGAACCTTTGCAGAAATGAATGTCCTTCCCAAGTGTTCCATGGTATTCCATAGTTTTGGTGTTCCTGAAAGCTGCCATTCACTAGAGAAAGTGTACCAATTTCACTGACTAGGAAATACTTGCCATTCTTTGACTATCTCCTGTGTGAGCAGTGCATTTCTCGGATGAAAGTGAATTAATTTCTCTGTCCACATCAAGTGAAATCCTGTGGTCACGTTCAGGCTCTTGGCAGCCAGTGTGTGCGTTTGCATGTTTTGATGAAGTTAGTAACGCAAAAGCCCGGGATACCAACATCCTGGTTAGCAGTGTGGTACACTTTGTGTCCACATAGGGGAATAACCTCAGGTGATGGGAGATGTTGTTCTGAGAAGAAAGTTGCCTCATGGAATGTGAAAGGAGTTTTCCTGGCCGATGGAAGTGCAAAGGGCTTGAGGCGATTTTCTACTCACCACAAAAAAACACATCTTGTCATCCAAAATGTGGGTTCCAGATTGGGAGTTCTTGGAAACAGGAGAGAAATGTCATCCCTATGCCACGTAGAGGAGGCGGAGGTGGGAATATGGAGCAGTAAAGCCATGCTGAGATGCAAACATCTTTCCAGGACCCTAACACACAAGTGGCTGTTGACTGGAGGGGGAGGGTCTTAAGGGGAGTGCTTACGGACTCCGGCCAATCAGGAAAGACTTGGGTGTGATGTCACAGTGGGCTCACAGCCCTTGGACTTGGAGAGTCCTGAGGCAGCTGCTACCTGTCCTGTTGCTATGGCTGCCCAGCCAGCCAAGAGGAGAAAGGCAGGTGCCCCTGTATGGTGAGGAAGATTTCTCAGTGAAGTGTGGCATAGGGAAATGGGAGGGAGGCCGAACAGGATATCCATGAACTGAGCCCATGGGATTGGGGAATCTATTCTTCACTGCTAGCCAAATCATCCATATCCCTGATTTTGAATGTTCACAGGCCTGTGTGCCACCTGCGGTGGGTCTCCCTTTGCAGAACAGGGCGCCTTCGATCTCACTGTGATACACAAGCTGCCTGGTTTTCAGGGTCCCAACCGACCACGTGATCTTAGGGTGTAGTGCTAGCGGACTGGCAAGGGAAGAATGAGTTTACATGGTGGCCCAGGCACCTGTTGATCTGACAGAAATTCTTCTGTGCCCTGCAGGGTACACTAAACCATGGGCAAGGAATCTTGGAAGAAGTTAACCTGATTCTCCAGTGTTTCCTAGTATTCATAAGGATCGCTACTGCTGAAAGGTACTTTTCTTACATGAAGGTACAGAAATTTTCTGAGTCCAGAATGTTTTGCTATTCAAGGAGCCATGAGTGTGTATGTGTGTGTGTGTGTGTGTGTGTATGTGTATTGTGTGCTTCTGTGCATGTGTGGTGTGTGTGTGTGTGTTTGTGGGAGCCTTTGCACAGAGGGTAGATAGTATAATATTTCTTTTGTCAGTTTCTGGGAGATACTCTTTTTCAAAAAAATGCAGTCCTGATTGTTTCCTAGAAGGTAATAATTTTGGAGAGATCAAACGTTGTTGTCCTTAGATCAAGCCGTATATATTCTGTAAGGAGGAACTATTAGCATGTGTGTGGATGTGTGATTGTCATTTCTCTTTCAGGCACATTTGATACATTAAATTAGCACAGTTTGATTGAGGAAAAGCCTTGAGTTACCCTGCCATTAGTCTTCAGTTCCATGAATGAAAGGTGTCGTGGTCTGTCACTGAGAACCTTTGCAGAAATGAATGTCCTTCCCAAGTGTTCCATGGTATTCCATAGTTTTGGTGTTCCTGAAAGCTGCCATTCACTAGAGAAAGTGTACCAATTTCACTGACTAGGAAATACTTGCCATTCTTTGACTATCTCCTGTGTGAGCAGTGCATTTCTCGGATGAAAGTGAATTAATTTCTCTGTCCACATCAAGTGAAATCCTGTGGTCACGTTCAGGCTCTTGGCAGCCAGTGTGTGCGTTTGCATGTTTTGATGAAGTTAGTAACGCAAAAGCCCGGGATACCAACATCCTGGTTAGCAGTGTGGTACACTTTGTGTCCACATAGGGGAATAACCTCAGGTGATGGGAGATGTTGTTCTGAGAAGAAAGTTGCCTCATGGAATGTGAAAGGAGTTTTCCTGGCCGATGGAAGTGCAAAGGGCTTGAGGCGATTTTCTACTCACCACAAAAAAACACATCTTGTCATCCAAAATGTGGGTTCCAGATTGGGAGTTCTTGGAAACAGGAGAGAAATGTCATCCCTATGCCACGTAGAGGAGGCGGAGGTGGGAATATGGAGCAGTAAAGCCATGCTGAGATGCAAACATCTTTCCAGGACCCTAACACACAAGTGGCTGTTGACTGGAGGGGGAGGGTCTTAAGGGGAGTGCTTACGGACTCCGGCCAATCAGGAAAGACTTGGGTGTGATGTCACAGTGGGCTCACAGCCCTTGGACTTGGAGAGTCCTGAGGCAGCTGCTACCTGTCCTGTTGCTATGGCTGCCCAGCCAGCCAAGAGGAGAAAGGCAGGTGCCCCTGTATGGTGAGGAAGATTTCTCAGTGAAGTGTGGCATAGGGAAATGGGAGGGAGGCCGAACAGGATATCCATGAACTGAGCCCATGGGATTGGGGAATCTATTCTTCACTGCTAGCCAAATCATCCATATCCCACGATTTTGAATGTTCACAGGCCTGTGTGCCACCTGCGGTGGGTCTCCCTTTGCAGAACAGGGCGCCTTCGATCTCACTGTGATACACAAGCTGCCTGGTTTTCAGGGTCCCAACCGACCACGTGATCTTAGGGTGTAGTGCTAGCGGACTGGCAAGGGAAGAATGAGTTTACATGGTGGCCCAGGCACCTGTTGATCTGACAGAAATTCTTCTGTGCCCTGCAGGGTACACTAAACCATGGGCAAGGAATCTTGGAAGAAGTTAACCTGATTCTCCAGTGTTTCCTAGTATTCAATAAGGATCGCTACTGCTGAAAGGTACTTTTCTTACATGAAGGTACAGAAATTTTCTGAGTCCAGAATGTTTGCTATTCAAGGAGCCATGAGTGTGTATGTGTGTGTGTGTGTGTGTGTGTATGTGTGTTTTGTGTGCTTCTGTGCATGTGTGTGTGTGTGTGTGTGTTTGTGGGAGCCTTTGCACAGAGGGTAGATAGTATAATATTTCTTTTGTCAGTTTCTGGGAGATACTCTTTTTCAAAAAATGGCAGTCCTGATTGTTTCCTAGAAGGTAATAATTTTGGAGAGATCAAACGTTGTTGTCCTTAGATCAAGCCGTATATATTCTGTAAGGAGGAACTATTCAGCATTCAGGGCATATGTGCAGTGTATTTCCAGGCATCATGATACATGGGTCAATGTGCACAGTTTGATTAAAAGCCTTGAGTTACCCTGCCATTAGTCTTCAGTTCCATGAATGAAAGGTGTCGTGGTCTGTCACTGAGAACCTTTGCAGAAATGAATGTCCTTCCCAAGTGTTCCATGGTATTCCATAGTTTTGGTGTTCCTGAAAGCTGCCATTCACTAGAGAAAGTGTACCAATTTCACTGACTAGGAAATACTTGCCATTCTTTGACTATCTCCTGTGTGAGCAGTGCATTTCTCGGATGAAAGTGAATTAATTTCTCTGTCCACATCAAGTGAAATCCTGTGGTCACGTTCAGGCTCTTGGCAGCCAGTGTGTGCGTTTGCATGTTTTGATGAAGTTAGTAACGCAAAAGCCCGGGATACCAACATCCTGGTTAGCAGTGTGGTACACTTTGTGTCCACATAGGGGAATAACCTCAGGTGATGGGAGATGTTGTTCTGAGAAGAAAGTTGCCTCATGGAATGTGAAAGGAGTTTTCCTGGCCGATGGAAGTGCAAAGGGCTTGAGGCGATTTTCTACTCACCACAAAAAAACACATCTTGTCATCCAAAATGTGGGTTCCAGATTGGGAGTTCTTGGAAACAGGAGAGAAATGTCATCCCTATGCCACGTAGAGGAGGCGGAGGTGGGAATATGGAGCAGTAAAGCCATGCTGAGATGCAAACATCTTTCCAGGACCCTAACACACAAGTGGCTGTTGACTGGAGGGGGAGGGTCTTAAGGGGAGTGCTTACGGACTCCGGCCAATCAGGAAAGACTTGGGTGTGATGTCACAGTGGGCTCACAGCCCTTGGACTTGGAGAGTCCTGAGGCAGCTGCTACCTGTCCTGTTGCTATGGCTGCCCAGCCAGCCAAGAGGAGAAAGGCAGGTGCCCCTGTATGGTGAGGAAGATTTCTCAGTGAAGTGTGGCATAGGGAAATGGGAGGGAGGCCGAACAGGATATCCATGAACTGAGCCCATGGGATTGGGGAATCTATTCTTCACTGCTAGCCAAATCATCCATATCCACGATTTTGAATGTTCACAGGCCTGTGTGCCACCTGCGGTGGGTCTCCCTTTGCAGAACAGGGCGCCTTCGATCTCACTGTGATACACAAGCTGCCTGGTTTTCAGGGTCCCAACCGACCACGTGATCTTAGGGTGTAGTGCTAGCGGACTGGCAAGGGAAGAATGAGTTTACATGGTGGCCCAGGCACCTGTTGATCTGACAGAAATTCTTCTGTGCCCTGCAGGGTACACTAAACCATGGGCAAGGAATCTTGGAAGAAGTTAACCTGATTCTCCAGTGTTTCCTAGTATTCAATAAGGATCGCTACTGCTGAAAGGTACTTTTCTTACATGAAGGTACAGAAATTTTCTGAGTCCAGAATGTTTGCTATTCAAGGAGCCATGAGTGTGTATGTGTGTGTGTGTGTGTGTGTGTGTATGTGTATTTGTGTGCTTCTGTGCATGTGTGTGTGTGTGTGTTTGTGGGAGCCTTTGCACAGAGGGTAGATAGTATAATATTTCTTTTGTCAGTTTCTGGGAGATACTCTTTTTCAAAAAATGGCAGTCCTGATTGTTTCCTAGAAGGTAATAATTTTGGAGAGATCAAACTTTGTTGTCCTTAGATCAAGCCGTATATATTCTGTAAGGAGGAACTATTCAGCATTCAGGGAATATGTGCAGTGTATTTCCAGGCATCACGATACATGGGTCAATGTGCATCACTGGGTGAAATGAAGGGATTTCAATTCTAGTGATTACTTCAGGCCCAGTCCCAGGTGGAATACACCTTGCTTGTTTCCTTGCATAAATGTGGCAGTATTTCATCCGTCCATGAACATGGCGGAAATTATATCACCTCACATATTTTTCTTAGCGTGATCCTTTTTGAAGTGCTGATATTGTCCCCTCAGTAGCATAACACCTGGACTTTCAGCCATTGCGTGTAACATTCCCCATGCAATGAATATGGATAGATTTTGTTTTATTTTGTGTGTCTGTGTGTGCAACATTTCTAGTTTGCAAATGTAGTAATTGCTTTGCTCATTCAAGTAAGTTCTCCTAGGACAAACGATTTTACACGCATTGTGTATACCTACTGTTTAGGCATGCATAAGACCCCTTCAATCAAACTCTTTCTTTTCCACTGTGGAAATTGATAGCATGCACCAGGCTGTGCACCAGGGTGTGCTGGTGTTGAGTGACTTGTGATTTTGCTAAACGTTACCATTCAGTACATACGAGCAAAGAAATTCCTTCACTCGATAACTATTAGGATATCAACACTTTGTCTCTGTGTGTGTTGTGTGTGTGTGTTTGATTGTGTGATTGTCATCTTTCTCTTTCAGTTTGCCTCACTGATTTGTATAAATTAGCTTACTTCCTGATGTCAGTTTGAGGAAAAGCCTTGAGTTACCCTGCCATTAGTCTTCAGTTCCATGAATGAAAGGTGTCGTGGTCTGTCACTGAGAACCTTTGCAGAAATGAATGTCCTTCCCAAGTGTTCCATGGTATTCCATAGTTTTGGTGTTCCTGAAAGCTGCCATTCACTAGAGAAAGTGTACCAATTTCACTGACTAGGAAATACTTGCCATTCTTTGACTATCTCCTGTGTGAGCAGTGCATTTCTCGGATGAAAGTGAATTAATTTCTCTGTCCACATCAAGTGAAATCCTGTGGTCACGTTCAGGCTCTTGGCAGCCAGTGTGTGCGTTTGCATGTTTTGATGAAGTTAGTAACGCAAAAGCCCGGGATACCAACATCCTGGTTAGCAGTGTGGTACACTTTGTGTCCACATAGGGGAATAACCTCAGGTGATGGGAGATGTTGTTCTGAGAAGAAAGTTGCCTCATGGAATGTGAAAGGAGTTTTCCTGGCCGATGGAAGTGCAAAGGGCTTGAGGCGATTTTCTACTCACCACAAAAAAACACATCTTGTCATCCAAAATGTGGGTTCCAGATTGGGAGTTCTTGGAAACAGGAGAGAAATGTCATCCCTATGCCACGTAGAGGAGGCGGAGGTGGGAATATGGAGCAGTAAAGCCATGCTGAGATGCAAACATCTTTCCAGGACCCTAACACACAAGTGGCTGTTGACTGGAGGGGGAGGGTCTTAAGGGGAGTGCTTACGGACTCCGGCCAATCAGGAAAGACTTGGTGTGATGTCACAGTGGGCTCACAGCCCTTGGACTTGGAGAGTCCTGAGGCAGCTGCTACCTGTCCTGTTGCTATGGCTGCCCAGCCAGCCAAGAGGAGAAAGGCAGGTGCCCCTGTATGGTGAGGAAGATTTCTCAGTGAAGTGTGGCATAGGGAAATGGGAGGGAGGCCGAACAGGATATCCATGAACTGAGCCCATGGGATTGGGGAATCTATTCTTCACTGCTAGCCAAATCATCCATATCCCACGATTTTGAATGTTCACAGGCCTGTGTGCCACCTGCGGTGGGTCTCCCTTTGCAGAACAGGGCGCCTTCGATCTCACTGTGATACACAAGCTGCCTGGTTTTCAGGGTCCCAACCGACCACGTGATCTTAGGGTGTAGTGCTAGCGGACTGGCAAGGGAAGAATGAGTTTACATGGTGGCCCAGGCACCTGTTGATCTGACAGAAATTCTTCTGTGCCCTGCAGGGTACACTAAACCATGGGCAAGGAATCTTGGAAGAAGTTAACCTGATTCTCCAGTGTTTCCTAGTATTCAATAAGGATCGCTACTGCTGAAAGGTACTTTTCTTACATGAAGGTACAGAAATTTTCTGAGTCCAGAATGTTTGCTATTCAAGGAGCCATGAGTGTGTATGTGTGTGTGTGTGTGTGTGTATGTGTATTTGTGTGCTTCTGTGCATGTGTGTGTGTGTGTGTGTGTTTGTGGGAGCCTTTGCACAGAGGGTAGATAGTATAATATTTCTTTTGTCAGTTTCTGGGAGATACTCTTTTTCAAAAAATGGCAGTCCTGATTGTTTCCTAGAAGGTAATAATTTTGGAGAGATCAAACGTTGTTGTCCTTAGATCAAGCCGTATATATTCTGTAAGGAGGAACTATTCAGCATTCAGGGCATATGTGCAGTGTATTTCCAGGCATCATGATACATGGGTCAATGTGCAACAGTTTGATTAAAAGCCTTGAGTTACCCTGCCATTAGTCTTCAGTTCCATGAATGAAAGGTGTCGTGGTCTGTCACTGAGAACCTTTGCAGAAATGAATGTCCTTCCCAAGTGTTCCAAGGTATTCCATAGTTTTGGTGTTCCTGAAAGCTGCCATTCACTAGAGAAAGTGTACCAATTTCACTGACTAGGAAATACTTGCCATTCTTTGACTATCTCCTGTGTGAGCAGTGCATTTCTCGGATGAAAGTGAATTAATTTCTCTGTCCACATCAAGTGAAATCCTGTGGTCACGTTCAGGCTCTTGGCAGCCAGTGTGTGCGTTTGCATGTTTTGATGAAGTTAGTAACGCAAAAGCCCGGGATACCAACATCCTGGTTAGCAGTGTGGTACACTTTGTGTCCACATAGGGGAATAACCTCAGGTGATGGGAGATGTTGTTCTGAGAAGAAAGTTGCCTCATGGAATGTGAAAGGAGTTTTCCTGGCCGATGGAAGTGCAAAGGGCTTGAGGCGATTTTCTACTCACCACAAAAAAACACATCTTGTCATCCAAAATGTGGGTTCCAGATTGGGAGTTCTTGGAAACAGGAGAGAAATGTCATCCCTATGCCACGTAGAGGAGGCGGAGGTGGGAATATGGAGCAGTAAAGCCATGCTGAGATGCAAACATCTTTCCAGGACCCTAACACACAAGTGGCTGTTGACTGGAGGGGGAGGGTCTTAAGGGGAGTGCTTACGGACTCCGGCCAATCAGGAAAGACTTGGGTGTGATGTCACAGTGGGCTCACAGCCCTTGGACTTGGAGAGTCCTGAGGCAGCTGCTACCTGTCCTGTTGCTATGGCTGCCCAGCCAGCCAAGAGGAGAAAGGCAGGTGCCCCTGTATGGTGAGGAAGATTTCTCAGTGAAGTGTGGCATAGGGAAATGGGAGGGAGGCCGAACAGGATATCCATGAACTGAGCCCATGGGATTGGGGAATCTATTCTTCACTGCTAGCCAAATCATCCATATCCCACGATTTTGAATGTTCACAGGCCTGTGTGCCACCTGCGGTGGGTCTCCCTTTGCAGAACAGGGCGCCTTCGATCTCACTGTGATACACAAGCTGCCTGGTTTTCAGGGTCCCAACCGACCACGTGATCTTAGGGTGTAGTGCTAGCGGACTGGCAAGGGAAGAATGAGTTTACATGGTGGCCCAGGCACCTGTTGATCTGACAGAAATTCTTCTGTGCCCTGCAGGGTACACTAAACCATGGGCAAGGAATCTTGGAAGAAGTTAACCTGATTCTCCAGTGTTTCCTAGTATTCAATAAGGATCGCTACTGCTGAAAGGTACTTTTCTTACATGAAGGTACAGAAATTTTCTGAGTCCAGAATGTTTGCTATTCAAGGAGCCATGAGTGTGTATGGTGTGTGTGTGTGTGTGTGTATGTGTATTTGTGTGCTTCTGTGCATGTGTGTGTGTGTGTGTGTTTGTGGGAGCCTTTGCACAGAGGGTAGATAGTATAATATTTCTTTTGTCAGTTTCTGGGAGATACTCTTTTTCAAAAAATGGCAGTCCTGATTGTTTCCTAGAAGGTAATAATTTTGGAGAGATCAAACTTTGTTGTCCTTAGATCAAGCCGTATATATTCTGTAAGGAGGAACTATTCAGCATTCAGGGAATATGTGCAGTGTATTTCCAGGCATCACGATACATGGGTCAATGTGCATCACTGGGTGAAATGAAGGGATTTCAATTCTAGTGATTACTTCAGGCCCAGTCCCAGGTGGAATACACCTTGCTTGTTTCCTTGCAAAATGTGGCAGTATTTCATCCGTCCATGAACATGGCGGAAATTATATCACCTCACATATTTTTCTTAGCGTGATCCTTTTTGAAGTGCTGATATTGTCCCCTCAGTAGCATAACACCTGGACTTTCAGCCATTGCGTGTAACATTCCCATGCAATGAATATGGATAGATTTTGTTTTATTTTGTGTGTCTGTGTGTGCAACATTTCTAGTTTGCAAATGTAGTAATTGCTTTGCTCATTCAAGTAAGTTCTCCTAGGACAAACGATTTTACACGCATTGTGTATACCTACTGTTTAGGCATGCATAAGACCCCTTCAATCAAACTCGTCCTTTTCCACTGTGGAAATTGATAGCATGCACCAGGCTGTGCACCAGGGTGTGCTGGTGTTGAATGACTTGTGATTTTGCTAAACGTTACCATTCAGTACATACGAGCAAAGAAATTCCTTCACTCGATAACTATTAGGATATCAACACTTTGTCTCTGTGTTGTGTGTGTGTGTTTGATTGTGTGATTGTCATCTTTCTCTTTCAGTTTGCCTCACTGATTTGTATAAATTAGCTTACTTCCTGATGTCAGTTTGAAAAGCCTTGAGTTACCCTGCCATTAGTCTTCAGTTCCATGAATGAAAGGTGTCGTGGTCTGTCACTGAGAACCTTTGCAGAAATGAATGTCCTTCCCAAGTGTTCCATGGTATTCCATAGTTTTGGTGTTCCTGAAAGCTGCCATTCACTAGAGAAAGTGTACCAATTTCACTGACTAGGAAATACTTGCCATTCTTTGACTATCTCCTGTGTGAGCAGTGCATTTCTCGGATGAAAGTGAATTAATTTCTCTGTCCACATCAAGTGAAATCCTGTGGTCACGTTCAGGCTCTTGGCAGCCAGTGTGTGCGTTTGCATGTTTTGATGAAGTTAGTAACGCAAAAGCCCGGGATACCAACATCCTGGTTAGCAGTGTGGTACACTTTGTGTCCACATAGGGGAATAACCTCAGGTGATGGGAGATGTTGTTCTGAGAAGAAAGTTGCCTCATGGAATGTGAAAGGAGTTTTCCTGGCCGATGGAAGTGCAAAGGGCTTGAGGCGATTTTCTACTCACCACAAAAAAACACATCTTGTCATCCAAAATGTGGGTTCCAGATTGGGAGTTCTTGGAAACAGGAGAGAAATGTCATCCCTATGCCACGTAGAGGAGGCGGAGGTGGGAATATGGAGCAGTAAAGCCATGCTGAGATGCAAACATCTTTCCAGGACCCTAACACACAAGTGGCTGTTGACTGGAGGGGGAGGGTCTTAAGGGGAGTGCTTACGGACTCCGGCCAATCAGGAAAGACTTGGGTGTGATGTCACAGTGGGCTCACAGCCCTTGGACTTGGAGAGTCCTGAGGCAGCTGCTACCTGTCCTGTTGCTATGGCTGCCCAGCCAGCCAAGAGGAGAAAGGCAGGTGCCCCTGTATGGTGAGGAAGATTTCTCAGTGAAGTGTGGCATAGGGAAATGGGAGGGAGGCCGAACAGGATATCCATGAACTGAGCCCATGGGATTGGGGAATCTATTCTTCACTGCTAGCCAAATCATCCATATCCCACGATTTTGAATGTTCACAGGCCTGTGTGCCACCTGCGGTGGGTCTCCCTTTGCAGAACAGGGCGCCTTCGATCTCACTGTGATACACAAGCTGCCTGGTTTTCAGGGTCCCAACCGACCACGTGATCTTAGGGTGTAGTGCTAGCGGACTGGCAAGGGAAGAATGAGTTTACATGGTGGCCCAGGCACCTGTTGATCTGACAGAAATTCTTCTGTGCCCTGCAGGGTACACTAAACCATGGGCAAGGAATCTTGGAAGAAGTTAACCTGATTCTCCAGTGTTTCCTAGTATTCAATAAGGATCGCTACTGCTGAAAGGTACTTTTCTTACATGAAGGTACAGAAATTTTCTGAGTCCAGAATGT